ATATATACTTTATCATTTCTGGTGTGCAAAGAGATTTTCATGGTGAAATAACATCTTTGTAACATTATCTGAATATAAAATCTACTTATTCTTAATAACAATCTTAATAATCATCATATACCTTCTCACCAGAATATTAATACTGTGAGATATTAGTTACTAGCTTTTTGTTTAATGATTTTGTCTACCTTGCAATACACTCAATAAAAATGTCCTGATATCAATATGCTCTTTAAAATGAAGATTCCTAAGCTCAGACAGAGAAGAGAGCACCAAATAAAGGGTGTTGTGAGGATCCTCCCAGGGTGGGAGAAGCATGCTGAAAGTAGTCTACAGACCAAACACGATTGTCACTCAATGCCTCTCTTGCAAAACACAGTACCCAAAAGAAGAGAGAGAGAACAAGGGGGAATGCCCTGCCACAGAGGCAGGGTGGGAGAGATGCTGGGACCCGTGGTAGTGGAGGATGGGCACTGGTGGAGGGATGGGTGCTTGATCATTGTATAACTGATACCCAAGCACAAAAATTTATAAGTCTATAACTGTACCTCATGGTGTTTCACTAATAAAAAAAAAAAAAAGAAGATTCCTAGGGCTGGAGCGATAGCACACTGGGTAGGGTGTTTGCCTTGCACACAGCCTACCAGGATTTGATTCCCAGCATCCCATATGGTCCTCTGAGCACCACCAGAGTAATTCCTGAGTGCAGAGCCAGGAGTAACCCCTGTGCATCGCCAGGTGTGACCCAAAAAGGAAAAAAGAAAAGATTCCTTCAAAAACTAAAGATAAAGTTACTTGACATTAAAATGAATTGAAAACACACACACACACACACACACACACACACACAGTCACACACACAGGGGCTGCGGTGATAATACAGTGGGTAGGTCACTTCCCTTGCACATCACCCATCTGGGTTCAATCCCTGGTTTCCCATACGATCCCCAAAGCTTGTGAGGAGTGATTTACTGAGCGAGGAGTGATTTACTAAGCAAGGAGTGATTTACTGAGTGCAGATCCAGGAGTTAGCCCTTGAGTGTAGCTGGGTGTGGTTTCCCTCCCCCCCAAAAAGTAATAAAAACTTCAAGAACAAATTTATTAACATTATAAATTTTTTAAAAAATGCGTGCTCCTTTTTCACTGTGCCTTCTTCTCTGTAATCTCTCGACAGTTATTGTTCCTTTAGGCTCCTTATACTTAAGAGATTTCCACAATTCCTCTGTTCACTCTTAAACACCACACAAAAATGCTCAAAAATTCAAGTCATGGTGACTACCATAAAATCATAGTAAGGCCACCAGCAGAGAAAGAGATCCAGAATTTATCAATTATTAGTATATTTTATAACTTAAACTTAAAAAAAAAACTCAGTAATTCACGATTTATCTGTTTCCTGCTCTCAGATTTCAGTTACCAAAACACCATTTTCTAGCAATTCTACTTGGATTAATCTCTTTACTTCTATTAAATATTACTTCTATTATTTTCCGTACATTCATTTAATTACAAAGTACTGAAATACTGTGCTCAAATTGAGTATAAAGGAACTTCCTCAGCTAATCTATTTTTTCCTAAAGTTTTTATGTTCAGAACTTTCAATGTCAATACTAGGTTGAAAGTTACTGCATTACAAACGCAACTCAGCCTTTTCCTATTTGCTGTTTAAACATTACTACTAAAACATTTTAAAACTATTTTACAGATCAAAACATACTGTGATAAATCACCAACTAGCCTGTTTCATAAACAGCGTAAAGCATTAGCCTATATAAACGCAACAAGGCTCTCTCCATACAGTTCCCTTTTACATCTACAAAAGTGAAAAATCTAATTTAAGAATTACAAGAAAACAAGGATTGAATAAACTTACTGAAAAGGTCTTTAAAGACTTTTAGCCAGTCCATTTTCAGTAAACTCCTGAGTTCTTTCGGTTTGTTAACACAGCTCAGGATAATTCCGTGAGCTTCCTGGTCTGTTCTGCAACACTGAAACTCCCCACACCCAATCCATGTGACTTGGCGCACACCCAAGCAACAGAAAGTTTTTACTGAGGCTTCTCTCTCTTCAAAACTTTTCCCCCCTAACATAACTATACTGGAACCTGTAAAACAAGTTATCACAAAGGCCACAATTGTGATCTTATTCAGACTTATTTCCAGAGAAGCTTTAAAGCATAAATATTTTCCAATAGTTGAAAATACATTCATGTATCCATTCTTTCCTTTGTTTTCCCCATTTTTCCCTAAGCTTTCAAACAGTCTCTACCAGCAGTACAATCACTATAAACAAATCTATTAATTATTAGGGACATTTAAATCACCAAAAGGGTTAAAAAATAGTGAGAAAAAAAAACCATCTTTGATGCAAAAGCTGAATTTACATTATTTTATCAGGACTGTCTCTACCAGCAGTACAATCACTATAAACAAATCTATTAATTATTAGGGACATTTAAATCACCAAAAGGGTTAAAAAATTGTGAGAGAAAAAAAAACACCTTTGATGCAAAAGCTGAATTTACATTATTTTATCAGGCTAATCACTGATCACCAATTTAAAACAGAATGTTTTGAAGTGCAGGGAACAAGATTATTAAATTTTAATAAGGTAAAGGTAAGGTAAAGGCCCTCCCGTTGTTCATCGATTTGCTCGAGCGGGCCCAGTAACGTCTCCATTGGAGACTTTGTTGTTACTGTGTTTGGCATATCCAATACTTCACGGGGCGCTTGCCAGGCTCTACCGTGCAGGCGAGATACTCTCGGTAGCTTGCCGGGCTCTCCGAGAGGGGCGGAGGAATCGAACTCGGGTCGGCCATGTTGGCTGCATGCAAAGCAAACGCCCTACCGCTGTGCTATCGCTCCAGCCCCATTAAATAATTTTTAATATTGTGATGCAGTATTAAAATTAACTAGGACTTACAGAGATATAAAATTCTGCTACAATTTGAATAATATAAAAAATACTATGGAAGTCTTCCCAAGTATACCATAATACTGTTTTAATTTTTTTTTATATGCAGCAATATCTGAAACTAGGATATTTTCCTCTGCTCTATGAGGCTATTTTTTTTTTCCGCTGTCACATCTGCCCTGGTCCCAGGATACCAGTAACCCTTCTTAAAGGAATTTAGTTTTGGGACCACACACAGCTGTGTTCTGGGCTTACTCCTGGTGGGCTAGGTTTATGCAGTACCAGGGATTGAACCCAGGTTAGCCAGGTGCAAGGCAAGTGCCTTACCCATTGTTATTATTTCTCTGATCCTCTAAAAGGAATTTAAAAAAAAAAAATCTAGGCATGACCTTTATCCTTTCAAGACTTCACAGCTATGAGGATTTCTCGATATAAGCTACCTTTTCACCAAAACTAATAAACTTCTTTTAAATTCTGGTATTTACAAAACTATTGGCTTTAAAGTCTAATCTCTTCAGCTAGTCAAGGAAAGTCTTTATCTTTTGTTTAAAAACTAAAAATGATGGTCTTATATTTGCAAAAAAGAGATAACCTAAGAAAAGTCATTTAAGTACTTCATGATGAAAATTCACATTAAAAGCTCCACTTACGGGGACCAGTGAGATAATACAGGGTAAAGCACGTGCCTGCACATGGCTAAGCCCAGTTTGCTAACTGACATCACACTATGATCACCTGAGCACCAGAATGTGGCCCAAAAAAACAAAAATAAAAACTGATGAAGAAACAACATTAAACTTTACTGACATCAGCAACATAATTTGGGTTAAACTACAATCAACTGCAAACCACTGGTGATGATGCACCTGTATTAACTACGCTTAAGAATACTAGAAAACGTTGGTTGTTTCTCTTTCCCCTAGTCTGAATTCTTTGGTTCTTGGGTCATTTGGCTACTCCCATCTTGGTGCTCAAGGGTTGTTCCTAGTAATGCTAGGCCATGTACTACCAGGAATCAAACCTGGGCCTGCAAAGCATGCATTCAGTCCATTGAAGCATTTCTCCAAGTTTTCAATTAAGAAATTGATATTTTTGTATTATATATCTTACTTTGAACTATATTAAAATTTAGTTTTTCAGTCTGTAAAAACAGATTTGTACTCTATTGTTGATTTTTGTTTTCTTTCCTCCCAGTTGTTTTATATGTACTATTTCCAAATTATCTTTACAAAGAATTCTTTGTTTACCCTCTACATAACATACAAAGAACCATAAGCAACAGCATACTTGCCTGAATACCAAAACTGAAATTTGGTCCCTCCCAATTCCTTCCTGTCAGCCTAGAAGAGTTGAATTTATTTTTAAAAAAGGTGGTGGGGGAGGGGGGTTTGGGAGAGCCCAGCTCTCATCTGTGCATATTTCCTTCCTATCAGCTCAGTCAGGCTCTATGTGAAACAGGTTCCACTATCTCTAGCCCTAACAGAGGCTGGCAAAAACAAACAAACTACATTTAGAGGAAGAAAGAAAAGGAAAGAGAAAATACAATAGGAAGAGATGAGCATTGCAGATATCTATCTACAGCAGTAACCCACAATTTAAGACTATCAGATCCATAAAGAAATACAGAGATGGTTTGCTAATTTAAAAATTAAACTCAAAATATAAATCATCAGATAGTAAAACAGAGCAGTGTGATGTGTGAAATTACTGACAAGAAGGTATTTTGCATTTCACTCATTAATCCCTGTTTCATTTAGATGCAAAATTTGCCTATTAACTCTAAACCACAAAGGGCACTCTTACTTCCAAGAGTCTAATGAAAAGTGTCAATATGACTTGGCTTGACCTTGAACTCCAGCCTGACAGTCTCTAACAGAAAAAAGCCTAAGACCTTCACTGCTCTTGACCTGAAAACACGCCATCAACTAAACTTCTATTTCAAGTCCAGTTCTGGCCTTTCCCACTAAATTCTGTTCATTGCTGCCAATTCTATACAAAGAACCAAGCTCTAGAATCCCTACTCCCCAAGCCCCAAGCCCCTGCCCCACCCGGCCTTTTAAAAAAAGTTTACCGAAGAAACAACTTACCTAAGGTATCCTTTAGGTTTTTTACAATAGAAGCCTTACGAGCACTATTTTTCCTTTCCACATAATTAGAAGGCACAAAACCAGTTTTATTCATGGAATTTCGAACTCGCCACCAGGACTTAGAATCATCCAGAAGCCATAATCTCTCATTCTTCTTGATGTCAAGCTCTTGTTCTTGTTGGGCCACATAGTCAAATTTGGCGACTACCACCACTTCTTCTGCCATCTTTCACCAGTTTCAGCACTGTAAGCACAACGAGAAAAGAATTTTTCAAGATTTGCGTAGAACTGTGTAGGATTAATCCATATGTTTTTTAAAAAGAATCATACCAAAAAGCCTAAGACCACCAAAATGTGGCTCAAAAAGACCACAAAAAAGTGGGTGAGAAAGTGGCTCAAATGGCTAACGATGGTTTGAAACTTTTCCATAAAAATATGAAAAAATAAATGAGGTAAATACTAATTTGAACAAAAAACTGGTATAATTATTTATCATGCAAAAGAACTTTAAAGTAAAACCATTCTGAGATAAAGTTCATTATTACTAATAAAAGATTTTCTCACATGTATAAACTGACAAAACCCCAATGTCATCGAAAATAATCAGTCATATATTTACTTCATTAAAAGTCAAAGTAGCTTTAAAATTAAGCTTGAGAAGAAGTGATATTAAAACCATTAAGTTTGATCCTTTTTTTTTCTCTTTTTGGGTCATACCCAGCGATGCACAGGGGTCACTTCTGGCTCTCCACTCAGGAATTACTCCTGGTGGTGCACGGTGGACGATATGGAATGCTGGGAATTGAACCCGGGGTTGGACGCATGCAAGGCAAATGCCCTACCCACTGTGCTACTGCTCCAGCCCCTGAGTTTGATTTTAAACACAAATACTATTTTTCAGAGAAAAAAATATATGTAAAAATTGATCTATTGCAAGAACATAAAAGAAATTTCTAGAAAGTTTCATTTATTTTTGCATCATATAACAACCGTATTCTCTAACAGCCATTATTCAAAACTGAAACCATTTTGAAATTTTACCCCTTAGGTTTGGAAATTCAGTCATCAAACAAAAAATCACAATAGAATTTTGAAAACACTTAAGAACCAAAAATAAATTGGACATCTGTCTCAACCAGTTAGAAAAGTAGACTATAAAATAGAAAAAAAACATATATAAAAAAGCAGAATTTAGTGTGACAGAGAAAGCACAGATAACTCAACAACAACAATGTAGTTCTTTGTCCCAACAAAAGGATATATTTGTAGCAACTGACCTAGTCAGAGAAAGGAAAGAGCTGTGCTCAAAGAACAAATGAAAAAGGAGCCATAATTACAGATGCAGAAGACTTTCAAAATATATGGCAATATGTGTTTTCATATACATAACTTACATCAGACATACATGCATCTGAAACAAAGAGAAAAATAAAATAATTGAGTCAGTCATTAGGAAATTTTCCCATAATGAAAAGCAACATGGTCCCATAATACAAACACTGTCCTCCCGTTGTTCATCGGTTTGCTCGAGCGGGCCCAGTAACGTCTTCATTTTGAGACTTGTCTCCATTTTGAAACTTGTTGTTACTGTGTTTGGCATATTGAATATACTCTTGGTAGCTTGCCGGGCTCTCCGAGAGGGGTGGAGGAATCGAACCCGGCTCGGCTGGGCGGGCTGCGCACAAGGCAAATGCCCTACTGCTGTGCTATTGCTCCAGCCCATATGGTCCTATAATGTCAGTAGAAAAGACAAGTTCTACTAAAACTCATGGAATGTATAATTCCATTATACAGAACTGAGAAGCCATTTTATAACAAAGGAAAAGGAGGGGGGCGATAACCAGGAATGTGGTTCAAGGGGTAACAGAGTCTTGGATGTGTGAGGTCCCGAGGCTTAATCCTGAAGTAGCTCTGGATGCCCCAGACACCAAAAGGAATGCCCCCTAAAAGAAAAAATACACACACACATTCACTCCTGAGCCTAAATCAATTGTACTTTCTTCAGGGAGAAAGTTGTTTATCATTTTTAAATGCACAGCTACTTGTCAAGTGCCAACATCCTAAAAGAAACTATGTGCTGGATGTAAGACAAAACTGAACTAATTAAAAAGACCTGAAGTCAACAGTGTGTCTCTGACCACAGTAATACTTAAAAAAAAAAAAAAAAAAAAAAAGATATCGGGGGGGGGGGGGAAGTACTCCTTACACAAAAATTTGTAAGTCTACAACTGTACCTCATGGTGTTTCACTAAGAAAAATTTTTTTTAAAAGTAAAAAAAAAAAAAATAAAAAAGATCAGGGAAATCTCCATATGTTTGGAACATACTTCTAACTTACACAAGTTAAAGAGGAAATCTCAAGGAAAAGCAACACTAAAATGAAAATATAATGCACTAAAATTTGTGGAACACTGCTTAAAGCAAGACTGAGAGAAAATTATAGCCCCCAAACACATAATTAGAAAAGCAGTTTCTAAGCTCTACCCAAAAACTTAGCATCTTAAACTGTGATCACCAGCCCATATGGAGTTGCTGCGGGCCCTGCCCCGCCCCGCCCCGCCCGACCCTGAAGGTAATGAAGATTTCTCTCAGTACAACCAAAAATTAATTTAAAATCACATGAATAGTGAATTTCTGGCAGTGCTTGTCCATCCTGTATATCTTGGGTGAAAAGAAGTCACAAAAAGAAGTCTAGTCATAAAGGAAAGCAAAAACATTGACACCAGATGGAGACAGTACAGGGGTCCCGGGGCTTGCCCTTGCACACGGCCAACCTGGGTTCAATCTCTGGCATCCCATAAGGTCCTCAGAGCCTGCCAGAGTAATCTCTGACTACAGAGCCAGAACTAAGTCCTGAGCACTGCCAGGTGTGGGCTGCAAACAAAACACAACCAACCAAGGAAAGCAACATAGGACCAAAGAGATGGCACAGTGGACTGGAGCAGATGCTTTGCATGAGGGAGGACCATGCAAGTTAACCAACCTAATCAACAGCACTGCACTGTCCGCCCATTGTTCATCATTTTTGCTCGAGCTAACATCTCCGTGAGACTTGTTGTTACTGTTACTGTTTTTAGCATATCAAATATGCCACAAGAAGCTTGTCAGGCTCTTCCGAGCAGGTGGGATATTGTCAGTAGCTTGCCGGGCTCTCTGAGAAGGACAGAGGAAATGAACCTGGGTCGGCTGCGTGCAAAGCAAATGCCCTACCCACTGTGCGATAGCTCCAGCCCAACCTAATCATACTGTATATAAAATGTTAACTCAAAATAAATGACCACATTAATAAACAAAACTTTTTAGGAAAGTGTGCAGGAGATGGGGCTGGAGCAATATCACAGCAGGTAGGTCGTTTGCCTTGCACGCGGCGGCCAACTGTGGTTTGATTCCCAGCATTCCATATGGTCCCTCGAGTCCTGCCAGGAGTAATTCCTGAGTGCATGAGCCAGGAATAACCCCTGAGCATCGCCAGTGTGACCCCCCCCCCCAAAAAAAAAGTGTGCAAGAGAAAATCTCTAGGGTTCAGAATAAGACAGTTATTTCAAGACCTGAAACTTTGAGACTTGAAACCAAAAGCAAGGTCCACAAAAGGAAACAGTGCAGAAAACAAAACACAACGAGAAAACAAAAGACATGATGAAAACATTTACTGAAAAAGGTAAGAAAATAACAAATAAACACATAGAAAGATGATCATCATCCTTAGCTGTAAAAATATGCAAATTAGGGGCCTACAGTCCTTGTACACCGCTAAGCCAGGTTCAAACCCTAGCACTACATATGCCCCCAGTTTTACCAAGAGTAGCCCTGGTGTCACATGGTGTCTATGGAGGCCCGAAGTACTGACAGGCAATACCTGGCACCACATGACTCAAGCAGCACTCCTGCCAAGAATTAACAGAAGGGCCTCTACAATCACCAGAACCCACCTACAAGTCCTCCCCAAAATGTCAATTAAGACCACACTGATATGTTACCACATAACTATCAGAATAGCTAAAATAAGTAATACCAAATATAGATAAGGTATATTGAAAAACTGGTATCTGTACACTGCTGATGAGAATGTAAAATTAGTGCAACTATTCTGGAAATTGCTTTGGCAGTTTCTTGTAAAAGTAAATAAGCTAGTACTAAATAATCTAGCAATAACACTCCTGGCATTAATCCTAGAGAAACATAGATGTTCATGCAGAAACTTTTACATGTGTAACAACTTTATTTAAAAAGTAAAAAGAATTAAAACATCAAGTGACTAGCTCAACAATGGGAGACCGTTGATCGTCGATTTTGCTCGAGCGGGCCCAGTAATGTCTCCATTGGAGACTTTGTTGTTACTGTGTCTGGCATACTGGGCTGGAGCGATAGCACAGCGGGTAAGGCGTTCGCCTTACAAGCGGCCAACATGGCCGACCCGAGTTCGATTCCTCCGCCCCTCTCGGAGAGCCTGGCAAGCTACCGAGAGTATTGGATATGCCAGACACAGTAATGGGAGACCAAGCCATAGAATACTACCAGAAATAAAAAAAAAAATCATTGATATGGGCAGTAACACTCAAGTATCTCTGAGATCTTGACAAGTGAGGGAAAAAGAAGTCAATTTCCTTAGGATATATATGTATATTTCACTTATATGACTTTTTGGGAATGTGGGGAAGAGGATGCCACACTGATGTACTCAGGTACGATTTCTGCCTCTGGGCTCAAGTGAACCCTTGGCAGTGCTGGGGATCAAACCAGGGTTGGCCAAAGGCAAAGCAAATGCCTCATCCCCTATATGGTCTCTTTGGCTCCCTATTGGACATTCTTGAAATGACAAAATTACAGTGATGGAGATAAGGTTAGTAGTTTTTTTAGCCTTAAAAAACTACTGAAAAATTCTGAAATTTTAACACTTAAACCTCCAGATTTAAGTGTTAAAATTTCAGAATTTCAAAATCACACGGCCACTACTGCAGCCACGTGACATCATATGTTATTCATAACCAGCAACAGAAAACAAACTGTCTACTATTGCCTTTTCAGAAGATTCGAGTGTTGGGGTAAAATCCCAAATAAATAATGGTGGGTGTGGTGTCAAAATATTGAATGTAATCAAAGTAGAGGAGAGTAATGTGGAAATCATCTGCCCTACAGGTAGGAGAAGGTGTAGGATGGGGGTATACTGAGATTTTTGGTGGTGGAGAATGGGCACTGGTGAAGGTATGGGTGTTTCAATGTATGACCGAGACTTAAACCCGAAAGC